AATCCTTTATAATTTTAATTATTTAATTGCTCCTTCCTCTCTTCTTTGGCATGTTGTGATATTTCTGATAGTTGGATAATAAACCGTTTTATTGTAATTTGTCTTTTTAAATTATTTCGAGTCGATATTAAAATTTGGAAAAAGGGGATACTTAGATTGGTAAAAATACGCGAATTTCCTCTTACAACTTCGGTTGTTGTTCAGGGTACAGTTGAGGTTTTAACGAAGTTTGAGCAAATACATAATTAGCAAAAAAGAAAGTTTAAATAAAGTGATTAAACAAAAATTATTACAAATATCATAAATAACAGTTCACAAATGCATATATAGAGATTTTTTGAAGGTGAGAAATGGTCTTCACAATTTGAGATTGATCGAACACACTGTGCTCGAATGCTCGTGTAAACGTGCGCCATCTATCGTAGGATAAATGTACTATGCCAAAAACCTTCGCGGGAGTGTATTAAAAAACTTTCCGAAGTTTCGCGGCAATCAGATAAATGGTGTGGTAATGCATGAAGGACACACACATACACACACACATTTTTTTATATATATAGATTACTGAAGACAGGTTATCTAAAACGTCAGCTTTTTAGGCTATAAAATCTTGCAATTTAGATTTATGATTGAGTTTTTAAATCTATACTAATATTATAAAGAGGTAATGTTTGTATGTATGTTAGTTTGTATGCAGCAGGTAATCTCCGAAACTACTCATCCTATTTCAAAAATTCTTTCACCAATATTTAGAATGGAACTTCAGGGTGGACATAGGCTGTATATTATTCCGTTAAACATGGGAGATGAACAGTTCTTTACGGTAATCCTTCCCCGTAAGGCTTACTGTAAAGAACCCTGCTTCTATTATACTATTTTAGATGCGGTTTTTTGCGTTTTTTGATAGCGTTTTAATAGAGTATGTCAAGAGAATGTACACTAAGAAGGGATTTTTCGATATTCCCCCCGCAGGGGAGAGTGACAGGATTAAGGCTTACTGTGAAGAACTTGGCTTCTATTATACTATTTTAGATGAGGGTTTTTGCGTTTTTGATTGCGTTTTAACAGGGTACGTCAAGAGAATGTACACTAAGAAGGGATTTTTCGAAAAATTTTCTCCCACGGGGGAAGTGTTATACATTTATAATAGATACATTTTGAGCCACAACAAGGTGTGGCGGGGTCTGCTAGTATTTAATAAAACACAATCTAGAAATTTTAAAGTATGAAAATGAAAATTGTATTTTATTTATTTATTTTTTTGCATTATAAGAATAACTGAAACAACTGAAATGCAGTCAAAATTCAATTTAGTGTTATCATTTGTTTTGTTCTGAGAATGGCATTAAATTGAGAGTTGTGCTAAACTGAATAATTCAAACAATTGTCGATCTGTCCATGTGTTTGAAATTCACTTGATTTGGTGATAGTCATTTGCAATGAAAAAGCACAGTTATTAATTTACAAACACTGAAGGATTCTCTACTGAATATTAATGAGAAAGATCTGTTCAGTAGTATGCATTAGTTATGAGGATTTATTATAATTTTGTTGTGTCAAACTTTAGTTGACAACTTAAGCAATTCTGTACTGCTTTACTGCAAAACAAACAAATACATTTCCAAAGATGTTTGGGTCAATGTTTTGTTAATAAAAAATACAAGAAAATTATAGGTAAATTGATAAATTAATAAGCATAAGTGCTTTATCTGATGACAGTAAGTTCAATCATTCATTTATCATTATGGGAACATAATTAAAAATCATAAGAAATTATTCAGTATAATGGAAAAATACAATTAATATCAAAAATGTTACATTATAAATAAAGAACATGTAGAAATTACAATAATGTAATTAAAATAATGTAAAAAGTAAACAAAACTAAATTCAAAACACAAAATTATATTGCATTGTGTTAATTACATCATGACTGTGTAGTAAACATAATTACAGCTTTAACAATTGAAAATTATATTAAATTGTTTCTAGATTTTAACAAGTTTTAGACTATTTTGTGACAAGTATCTTATATGAATGCAGCTATAAAGTTCAGTAGAGATTTTTCTGAACTTTCTCTTCAGTCACTTTTCAGACCAATATATGAGGGTACCCAAAAGTAAGATCTATTTTTTAAAAAATACAAAGAAACGTTTATTTTCAATAATTTTCATATCATTTTAAAGGTTGAACATTTATCTGTTTTTCTACATGATTGCCATTTCGGTTGATGCATTTTAGTAGTCGATCTGGCAGTTTTTGTAGGCCCATGTGATACCTGCTTGGTGCCATGTTGCAGTTCCCATCTTTCACACACCTTCCAATATTGCAACTTTTCTGTTAAAATCTTATGGTGCTTGGGGAAACCCCAAGAACCAAAATGCAGAGATCATCCATAGTGATTGGTCGATCTTCACCCATGGTTTGCTCAACCTTTGACTGTCTCGTTGAAAATTGAGTCTCCCGCTTCTTTCTTCGCCATGAATTTCTCTACAATCAGCTGCAAACTCCCTACACCACTCAAACATTTTTGACATCTATGCAGGGCTTGCTGTACACTTCTGTCAATTGCCGATGAACTTCAATTGGTTTAACACAATGTGGTGGTGAGCCGGTATGACATGGACATACAAAAACTGCCACAATGCCTACAAAACTGTATCAATCAAAATGGCAATCATGTACAAAAATGTTTGAGCTTTTAAACAATATGATCATTGAAAATAAACATTAAACTTCACTCTGACACCGGAGATGAAATACTAAATACTGAACCTGTTACCGGTGTAAAATAAACATTTCTTTGTATTTAAAAAAATAGGAGACCTTACTTTTGGGATTACCCTCGTATTTTTGACTTGTGTACTGTACAGACTCTTACATGATACAGAAAACGAATCTTTAGAAATGTTTATTTAATGTTAAATGAGAATGTTTTAGTTTATCAAAGGTATTTTTCTTTCATTTTTGATCATTTTCAGAACATATAAGATGAATCAGAGTCTACACTAATGATTTTCTCCATTTTTGCTCTACAGACACTGAGGGTCTTTTTATTGGTTCCCATCATGTGTACAATGGGTGGGTGGTGAGAGATGGGATCCTAAGACACCCCCACCTTTGAAAAGTTCTGGGATTGCCATCCAGATTTGATCCCTAGTCCCCACATCAGTAGCCGATAGCTTAATCCCTCAGCCATTCAGTGTTTGAGTGTACTGTACACTAGTTTTGGCAAAACCAGAAAGTCTCAAAATTGATTAACTAGTTTCAACAAAACTGCTTCAAATTTAGTAGAATTTTTTAATATTGTATTTTATTAATATAAGTACTAATATAATACTATAATATAATATATAAATACTAATATAATATATAAGTACTAAACTAGCCAACGTACACAAATATGCCCGTATTAAATTATTTTTGCCAAAAAGAGGATATTGTTTCTTCAATATTGGTAAATGCTGGGGTCTAAGTATTTAACAAAAAGCACTGGAAAATTTATCATTTTAAAATTAATGTGTGCTAGTTTTTACATTGATTTTAACATTAAACAGGAGCAATGTATGGATTTACTTTAAAAAAACTGAAGGATGATAAATTGGTACCATGTTCAAATTATAACATTATACTGAAATTTCCTGGATAGTATATCATAGTATATCAGCTATTTGGAATCATTATATGCATGTTTTACTGCCAACTAAACATAAAAAATGGCAAGTAAATACAATAATACAGATTTTATTGTCTGTTCAATACCAGTTTTGAAATTGGTTTTTTGCTAAAAATGCAGTTTACTGTAAACTGGTTAATTGGTTTACCAAAAACAAGTTTTGTTGCCAGCACTAGTCCACTCTATTGACTGTACTTTTATAAAATGTCTTTCAAAGATGCGCTACACTTTTTAGATTTTCTAACAATTTCACTTTCTCTAACAGTTTAAGATTATGTTCATAAAATTTTCACTCAGTTTTCTAAACTACTAAAATTATATCTATAATTTTAATTGAATATTTTTCTTATTTTGCATTTCAAATGATTAATTAATTAATATTATTATTATTTTAGGTTTATTGGCAAGATATTGGTGGTATGCACGAAGTAAAACAAAANTGTTGTGTGCTTAATAAACAATAGTGTAAATGTTTCTAGTAGGCTTTTATACAGTAGGAACTGGAAAGTGAAAAGAAAACTGTGATTTACATTAAGATATTTATCTTACAGCAGTAATCTGGATATAACTTTCAAATTTGTTTTTACTCTCTGCTATGTGGGCACTAAGAGTTCTTTTCTAGAGCTCATTATGGGTTCAGGCATGCCCACAATGGCACATTTAGGTTGTAAACTATATGGCTTTACATATCCAGAACAGCCCACACTCCAAAAAATTTGTCTTTCAACTGCCCAGATTCAATCCTGGGTCCTTCAGAGTAGTAAGCTGATGCCTTAACTTCTTTGGCTATCTGGCTAGCAACTGCCATAGTGAGATATGCTTGTATAAGGCCTGGATTTAGGGGTTAAAGATAACCTGGCTTAATAGACTGGTGTCCCATTGTCTCAGATTCCATGTTAAAATTCACAATACAAATCAAATTACTGTGGGTTTCTTTATTATATCTTGAATTACTTCTCCAGTGTATTTGAAATGTTTAGTTATTCAATTAGTAATTTGTTATAAATGTATATTCTATTAAGGGATAAATAAGGCATAAGTTTAAAAATTTTATACTCTGGGCTAGGGTCCAGCAGGCCCATTTATAAATTGGCATTACCTGTATTCATTATATTTCTTGAGAAATAGTGTAACCTGAAGATCAGTTTTTTAAAAATATTAAAGAATAATTGGTTAATTAAAATTTTATTGGATTATCATGGCAAATTCTCTTAATTTGTTTATTATTTCAGAGCTGATCTATATTATAGACTTATGGTAGGTTGTATGACAGGCTTGTCTACATAAATGTTTTAATGAAAGAATGTATGAAATAGGATCCAAAAATGAAAAACACCTTTAACAATCCAGCAAATAAAATTTACTGGATTGTTAAAGGTGTGATCTTTATTTTTATCATACTTATCCAGTATGTGCGATTTAGGAGTATAGGATCCAAGATTTGGATATGCTATTTGGTTTCTTGCCTTGAATAATTTAAAATGCCAATGCACAACCACCTTCAAAATTTCCCTTGGGTGACAGTACACTTTTGCCAGTGCTTGTACAGCTTCTGGAAGCATTGCTGTATGCCATTTTTTACAGCCACCCATAATGCCTCCTCCAATGCTTTCACTCCATTCAGAATTTATTCCTGAGGACAGATCAGTGAACAAGAAGCATTTTCTGGACATTTTATGTCACTTTTATCATAATAAATGGCATGATATGTCGCAAAGTGGACAGTGGTATCTTCTCCATCACCATATGCCTACTCATCAGTCCATAATGGTCATAGTTCCTCATAGAAAATGGTACTAATATGATTCCACATCCCACATATTCACCAACTTAACTCTTTGTAAATTTTGTCTTTCCACTGATGAACAACATCTGTAGGGACATCATTTTCAGTCATGAAATGTTGTAAAATAGCATCATTGGAAGTATTTCAGGTGGTTGCAAAACATGGCATACAGCAATGCAAACAAGTGCTGGCAAAAGTGTATTATCACTGAAGGGGTTATTTGGAACGTCGTGATGTCTGTTTTAAACTATTCAAGGCAAAGAAACACCAAGTCCCTGAATTTTTGGATCTTGTCTTGTATAAAATAACTTTTCAAATGTTTTCTACTCTCAATAACTCATAAATAATAAGACAAAATGATTTGAAAATATTTTAATTATATTGGAAATTTTGAACAGGAAAAATTCACATATTAGTTTAATACTAAATTTCTTTAAACCTACCTATCTTTTTACCTATTAATCTACCTACTTATCTTTCCTAGAATTAAATTTAGATAAAATTAAGAAAATAAACTGAAAAATTTTGATTATTAAACATTATACATTATTTTCATGAATTAAAACTGTTTAAACATTGATAGATACTTAAAAAATTATTAAAAGATAAGAGACATTCCTTAACAGAAGAAAATATGAAAGAAATTGCTGAAAAACTTCATGGATACACTGGAGCAGATTTAAATTGCTTGTGTAGAAATGGTAAGTCTGATAAATGACAATAATAATATAATATCTAGTTCATGGTTGCCTCTAAGCAACATTATGATGCAATTATGCAGTAATTTTTAAGAATTGGGTGCTGAAGACTTATGTTGTAATCAAAATTATAAGTTATTTTTCTTCTAAATAAGATCTGATAATAGCTGAAAAAGTTATGCATGTTGCTGGATTTTTTTGTTATGGAGTTGATGCTTAATTAACCGAAGGAATCAAACTTCTAACTTATGGAAGTCTTTTTCATAAAATTTGATAAATGTTTGAAATAGTGTTCACATCTTTAGTTTTAAACTGAATTGACAACTTCATAAAAACATTTTCCAAATTTTACATAAAAGACTTCTATAAAGTAAGGAGTTTAATTTATAACTTTAGTTTATTATATTAAAAGAATCAAATAAGATATCACATGAAGATACTGTTGCCTTTTAAGGCATTACATTGTACAAAAAAGTTTTGAATTTTGTACAAATTTATTATTATATCTGCTTCTTTGTCCTTTACGTCAGTTTTAGTTGTTTAGCTTGTCCATGAAAGCTTACGGTGCTTATATTAAGGTACATTATGAATGTGAGATTCGATCCGTGTGCAAACCAATTTTCCACTTTCCTCCTAACTTTTTGACATATTTTAAACAAATTTATCACCTTACTGTGAAAAATCCATCGTCAGAAAAACGGAATCGAGTATCTTATCAACATCGATAGAAACTTATAACTCTCCTCTTTAATGTAAACATTTACACATCTAAAAACAATGGCATTCTCATAATGCAAGACAAACTTTACAATTAAAGTCCGAATTTGTCATTTTGTTTTGGTCCCGGGAACAACTTTTAACCTCCATACCTGCTCCAATGACATCTATCTCCCACAACAGTTAATCACATGACAAATTTTTCCTAAAGAAGCGAAGCTAAAAGCGACTCCCCCCCGTGAAGTTTTTCATCTTCGGCTGGTCAAAAGTGATTCAGGTCTCAAAGGATTTTTGGACTGTTATAACTGTGTGTGTCAATCTACAAAAAGAAAAGGAATAATATTTTCTTCTCCGTGGAATGATTCTAGAGGTATGAAACAATTAATGTGAACACTTTCTCCGTGTATTAGGGGCTAGCAAACCAAGTTAAAGGTTCTCGATGTTAGTTTGTAATCATTAATTTTTGTTTAATCTAATAAACTGTTGTTTCCATTGTTAAATGGTGTCGCTTACTCGCATATTGCCTACACCTTATCGATGACCCCTCTCACCTTCACTCGACCTAATAAAAGGGATCCCAACCCCTTGGGATCGAAACTCGTAAACAAGCCATCCCCTGACAAGTGGGTAGTTTTCACCAAAATGTTGATGACAAAATGAGGTACGATCTCGTCATACCTCAGCATTTTGGACAAAGTTTCTCATTGGCAGAAGTTTACAGAACCTTCCAAAAAAATATATTTAAAACTGGTTTGACTATTACAAAAGTGTTTTTTTGAAAATTTATGACAATTACAGCTATTATTTCTGCTTACCTAAGTAGTATATCCTTTTACCTTATACAGCATAAAATCATTTTATTCAAACTTGGTCACTTGTAATGTACTAGCTTGATCTTTCTTTCCTCTTTACACCTTTAAGTGTTAAGTACTGATGCGTGTAATCTTTTCTAAACTAAGATAATAAACATTCAGGAATATTTGGTGTTATAGTGGAATGTAATTTTTACTAAAATAAATAAAACATGATAAAATATTTTAAGTCATAAATTGAAACACTGATAACATAAAAATAAAATAATAAAAATGATTTTATTTTTACAGTTTGTTTTATGTTGTTGAAAGAGCAATCAGATGATCTGGTTATGACGTTAAGTCATTTTAATTCGGCAATAAGAGAGATGAAACCAAGTGCTTTGAAGGAAATGGATATTCAGATTTCAAAGGTAAAATAAATTTCTTAGTTTATTTTATAAATAAAAATCATAAAAACAAGTTATTATAAAAATTTAATTTTGTCAAGTAAATATCAGTTTCCACTGTAAGTATTGTAATTATTTTTAACTTTTTGGAACATTGTTTACATATACATACATACATACATATATATATATAACTAGCTTACCCGTCGCGCATTGCTGCGATCTCAGAAGAAGCGAAATTCAGGCAAACTCGTTAAGATAAAATTAAATTTACATTTTATCATTTTTATTGAAACTTATTATTATTATATTATTATTCATTTTCATCGGGAAAAAACATTTCAAAGTGTCATTTCAATTCTGTTTATTTATTTGAGTGCTTGTGGATACACGATATTTTTTGTTTTTCTGTCTGGTGCGTACACGAATAAATCGGAAGGTTTTTTGACGCGTGAGTTGGCCACATACAGTTGTCCATGCGAGAAGCACGGATTCTCGAAATTTAGTCCACACACTCGCAGCGATTGTCAGAAGCGCGATATTCCCCATTTTTATATATATATTTTTTAATCCTTTATAATTTTAATTATTTAATTGCTCCTTCCTCTCTTCTTTGGCATGTTGTGATATTTCTGATAGTTGGATAATAAACCGTTTTATTGTAATTTGTCTTTTTAAATTATTTCGAGTCGATATTAAAATTTGGAAAAAGGGGATACTTAGATTGGTAAAAATACGCGAATTTCCTCTTACAACTTCGGTTGTTGTTCAGGGTACAGTTGAGGTTTTAACGAAGTTTGAGCAAATACATAATTAGCAAAAAAGAAAGTTTAAATAAAGTGATTAAACAAAAATTATTACAAATATCATAAATAACAGTTCACAAATGCATATATAGAGATTTTTTGAAGGTGAGAAATGGTCTTCACAATTTGAGATTGATCGAACACACTGTGCTCGAATGCTCGTGTAAACGTGCGCCATCTATCGTAGGATAAATGTACTATGCCAAAAACCTTCGCGGGAGTGTATTAAAAAACTTTCCGAAGTTTCGCGGCAATCAGATAAATGGTGTGGTAATGCATGAAGGACACACACATACACACACACATTTTTTTATATATATAGATTACTGAAGACAGGTTATCTAAAACGTCAGCTTTTTAGGCTATAAAATCTTGCAATTTAGATTTATGATTGAGTTTTTAAATCTATACTAATATTATAAAGAGGTAATGTTTGTATGTATGTTAGTTTGTATGCAGCAGGTAATCTCCGAAACTACTCATCCTATTTCAAAAATTCTTTCACCAATATTTAGAATGGAACTTCAGGGTGGACATAGGCTGTATATTATTCCGTTAAACATGGGAGATGAACAGTTCTTTACGGTAATCCTTCCCCGTAAGGCTTACTGTAAAGAACCCTGCTTCTATTATACTATTTTAGATGCGGTTTTTTGCGTTTTTTGATAGCGTTTTAATAGAGTATGTCAAGAGAATGTACACTAAGAAGGGATTTTTCGATATTCCCCCCGCAGGGGAGAGTGACAGGATTAAGGCTTACTGTGAAGAACTTGGCTTCTATTATACTATTTTAGATGAGGGTTTTTGCGTTTTTGATTGCGTTTTAACAGGGTACGTCAAGAGAATGTACACTAAGAAGGGATTTTTCGAAAAATTTTCTCCCACGGGGGAAGTGTTATACATTTATAATAGATACATTTTGAGCCACAACAAGGTGTGGCGGGGTCTGCTAGTATTTAATAAAACACAATCTAGAAATTTTAAAGTATGAAAATGAAAATTGTATTTTATTTATTTATTTTTTTGCATTATAAGAATAACTGAAACAACTGAAATGCAGTCAAAATTCAATTTAGTGTTATCATTTGTTTTGTTCTGAGAATGGCATTAAATTGAGAGTTGTGCTAAACTGAATAATTCAAACAATTGTCGATCTGTCCATGTGTTTGAAATTCACTTGATTTGGTGATAGTCATTTGCAATGAAAAAGCACAGTTATTAATTTACAAACACTGAAGGATTCTCTACTGAATATTAATGAGAAAGATCTGTTCAGTAGTATGCATTAGTTATGAGGATTTATTATAATTTTGTTGTGTCAAACTTTAGTTGACAACTTAAGCAATTCTGTACTGCTTTACTGCAAAACAAACAAATACATTTCCAAAGATGTTTGGGTCAATGTTTTGTTAATAAAAAATACAAGAAAATTATAGGTAAATTGATAAATTAATAAGCATAAGTGCTTTATCTGATGACAGTAAGTTCAATCATTCATTTATCATTATGGGAACATAATTAAAAATCATAAGAAATTATTCAGTATAATGGAAAAATACAATTAATATCAAAAATGTTACATTATAAATAAAGAACATGTAGAAATTACAATAATGTAATTAAAATAATGTAAAAAGTAAACAAAACTAAATTCAAAACACAAAATTATATTGCATTGTGTTAATTACATCATGACTGTGTAGTAAACATAATTACAGCTTTAACAATTGAAAATTATATTAAATTGTTTCTAGATTTTAACAAGTTTTAGACTATTTTGTGACAAGTATCTTATATGAATGCAGCTATAAAGTTCAGTAGAGATTTTTCTGAACTTTCTCTTCAGTCACTTTTCAGACCAATATATGAGGGTACCCAAAAGTAAGATCTATTTTTTAAAAAATACAAAGAAACGTTTATTTTCAATAATTTTCATATCATTTTAAAGGTTGAACATTTATCTGTTTTTCTACATGATTGCCATTTCGGTTGATGCATTTTAGTAGTCGATCTGGCAGTTTTTGTAGGCCCATGTGATACCTGCTTGGTGCCATGTTGCAGTTCCCATCTTTCACACACCTTCCAATATTGCAACTTTTCTGTTAAAATCTTATGGTGCTTGGGGAAACCCCAAGAACCAAAATGCAGAGATCATCCATAGTGATTGGTCGATCTTCACCCATGGTTTGCTCAACCTTTGACTGTCTCGTTGAAAATTGAGTCTCCCGCTTCTTTCTTCGCCATGAATTTCTCTACAATCAGCTGCAAACTCCCTACACCACTCAAACATTTTTGACATCTATGCAGGGCTTGCTGTACACTTCTGTCAATTGCCGATGAACTTCAATTGGTTTAACACAATGTGGTGGTGAGCCGGTATGACATGGACATACAAAAACTGCCACAATGCCTACAAAACTGTATCAATCAAAATGGCAATCATGTACAAAAATGTTTGAGCTTTTAAACAATATGATCATTGAAAATAAACATTAAACTTCACTCTGACACCGGAGATGAAATACTAAATACTGAACCTGTTACCGGTGTAAAATAAACATTTCTTTGTATTTAAAAAAATAGGAGACCTTACTTTTGGGATTACCCTCGTATTTTTGACTTGTGTACTGTACAGACTCTTACATGATACAGAAAACGAATCTTTAGAAATGTTTATTTAATGTTAAATGAGAATGTTTTAGTTTATCAAAGGTATTTTTCTTTCATTTTTGATCATTTTCAGAACATATAAGATGAATCAGAGTCTACACTAATGATTTTCTCCATTTTTGCTCTACAGACACTGAGGGTCTTTTTATTGGTTCCCATCATGTGTACAATGGGTGGGTGGTGAGAGATGGGATCCTAAGACACCCCCACCTTTGAAAAGTTCTGGGATTGCCATCCAGATTTGATCCCTAGTCCCCACATCAGTAGCCGATAGCTTAATCCCTCAGCCATTCAGTGTTTGAGTGTACTGTACACTAGTTTTGGCAAAACCAGAAAGTCTCAAAATTGATTAACTAGTTTCAACAAAACTGCTTCAAATTTAGTAGAATTTTTTAATATTGTATTTTATTAATATAAGTACTAATATAATACTATAATATAATATATAAATACTAATATAATATATAAGTACTAAACTAGCCAACGTACACAAATATGCCCGTATTAAATTATTTTTGCCAAAAAGAGGATATTGTTTCTTCAATATTGGTAAATGCTGGGGTCTAAGTATTTAACAAAAAGCACTGGAAAATTTATCATTTTAAAATTAATGTGTGCTAGTTTTTACATTGATTTTAACATTAAACAGGAGCAATGTATGGATTTACTTTAAAAAAACTGAAGGATGATAAATTGGTACCATGTTCAAATTATAACATTATACTGAAATTTCCTGGATAGTATATCATAGTATATCAGCTATTTGGAATCATTATATGCATGTTTTACTGCCAACTAAACATAAAAAATGGCAAGTAAATACAATAATACAGATTTTATTGTCTGTTCAATACCAGTTTTGAAATTGGTTTTTTGCTAAAAATGCAGTTTACTGTAAACTGGTTAATTGGTTTACCAAAAACAAGTTTTGTTGCCAGCACTAGTCCACTCTATTGACTGTACTTTTATAAAATGTCTTTCAAAGATGCGCTACACTTTTTAGATTTTCTAACAATTTCACTTTCTCTAACAGTTTAAGATTATGTTCATAAAATTTTCACTCAGTTTTCTAAACTACTAAAATTATATCTATAATTTTAATTGAATATTTTTCTTATTTTGCATTTCAAATGATTAATTAATTAATATTATTATTATTTTAGGTTTATTGGCAAGATATTGGTGGTATGCACGAAGTAAAACAAAAATTGAAAGAAGCAATAGAATGGCCAGTGAAGCATCCCGAAATATTTCATAAAATGGGAATCCCACAAACACATGGTATATTGATGTATGGTCCACCTGGGTGTTCTAAAACAATGATTGCCAAAGCATTAGCTACAGAAAGTGGACTTAATTTTATACCAATTAAAGTATGATTTATTTTTTAAATAATTTTTTTGATTATTGTTAGTGGATAATCTAAGAATGATACGTAGTTTTAATTCTGTGCTAAAATTGTTAATGAAGTTAATTCTAGATTTTAAATTTAATTCACTAATTTAGAAATTGGAATTTTCTAAATTATTTAATTAAAATTTTTAAAATTAATTTCAGATCTTTAATGTTACCATATGACGACAACGATAATATAACCACTCACCTATAGACCAAATTCTGTAATTTTAATTAAAAATTGCGTAAATATAGTTCAGAAATTCAATGATTTGATTTATGATTGCTAAATCTGGATCTTGGTTGATAAAGATGTCATTTTGAATTTATTTTTGAGCAGCAAATTTATCATTTAGTTTCTTCAGAATACTCCTTACAAATTTCATTTTATTGTATTTTTAAAGAGACCATCTGTTTGTCAAAGGCTGTGTTTTCATTAAGCAAGTAGCACTTGTTTAAATATTTGTTTGTGTTTCAACAATTATTGACTGTAAATTTGTAAAAAGTGATATATTTAGTACAGAATAGAGATAAATGAATTTTCTCTATTTGTACTAAATATTTAGTTACTTGATTAGAATTTTTAGTTATTTTGGATTCTTCTATTAAGGTTTTGATTGGATCTAGAAATTCTATTTGCTTCACTTCTTAAAGAAAATGTTTTGATCTTTTTTTAATCTTTAACCCACGGTTAGGCGCGCGGGGTTATATAGAACCCCCGGGGTCTTAAAACGCGTGTATTTTTTAAAATTTTTTTTGCTTAAAAATGATGCCCTCAGTACCTTCCTTCCATGGTGTGAAGATCGCACCGAAAAAATTTCAATTTTGCACGAAAAAAAATTTTTGCATAGACTCATAATGGAAATCAGTGGGGTGCTATAGTACCCCGCGCGCCTAACGGTGTAATTCATTTTCGCGCGACTAACGGAGGTGGGTCGATCTGACTTCGTGTTTTGAGGGAAAGCTTATTGGTTGATATAGAGTCAGTCATGATAGAAATGACCAATTAAAGCATAAAAGGCGTAAAAACAGGATTTTTAAAGCCAATAAACGGCAAAAAAGTTTCCCATAGACTTAACATTGACAGTTTGAAAGGTGGCGTTTTTTGGCGATATTTATTGCTAAATGGTGTTGAAAACATGTTTATTCGTCTAAATAATGTCAAGCGACTTATTATTAGCAAATTAGAAGTGGAAAAAAAGTATAAAACACGCGATTTTATTGCGATTGTTTACATACTTCCATGTGGTGGCCTTCGGGGGCGTGGCATTTCGCGGGAATATTTCCAGCAATTGTTTTTATAGGTCGATCTAATAACAGACATATAAATTAACCAATTACAGTGCAAAAGAAGTTTACTATCGATGTTATCTGCCAATAATCTCCATTTTTACCTCTACTTGCTGTGTGATTTTACATGGTGTTTTTTTGGAAATATTGAGATATTTTTGGCCCGGGGTTTGGTACAAAGAATTTAATTGTTGTAACAGTTAAAAAACACATACAGGAAGACGATTGACAGCTTAGATAGCATCAGACTTGTTTACAGTTTGTAAAATACACTCTTGAAGTCGACCAATTTTTTTTGAAAAATTTCTAAAAACGGGAGACTTTCTGTTTTTCGTTACGAATAAATAAAAACGATATATTTGAAGTAGTTTTCTTCACTAATACATCAAAAACACATGCCCACAAACATCCAAAATGAAAAAATCGCGAAAAAAACTATGCGTTTTGAAAAATTGAATTTTGAAACAGGGTTCTATAGAACCCCGCGCGACAAACAGTGCGAGAGTAACTGAACGCGCGTAACCGTGGGTTAATTGTTTAATTTTATGCTTTATATATTCTAGATATTCCTAAATTTAGTCATCCCACATTTATCTGTAAGCCAAATTCTTTATTTATGTTAGAAAGAAGATAGTAACAAATATAGGTCTGTGTTATAAAATTTCTGTTTACTGGAGTGTAAATGTGATTAGACAAACTATAAGTGGACAGCATATGGGTTCATGTATTTTAAATCTTGCTCTTGTATATGGGTATAAAATATATTTCTATGCCTTTATTTTTCATATATGTTTTAAGATAGAGCATGAAAATTATCTGGAATGCTTAAAGTTTTCCTCTTTGATTTATCACTTTAATACTTTACTACTAGTAAGAAATTGTTATGCTTTTGTATCATAAAAAGGTTTATTTTTGTTTAAATTTTAGTTACTTGCTTATTAATTTAACTTTCAGAAATCAATGCAATTTTCTTTATAGATGATATAATGTTATAAAACAGGTAACTGTTTTTTTCATTTTTTGTGTACCATTTGCTAAATTAAAATAAAGATATGTTGCACTCAGTGGGTGTTTTAATTTTGCAATTACATTGCTAAATAGTTTTAAGATAAAAGGACAATTTCACTTTTTTTATATTAGATATGTAATATATTTAGAGTGGTTTTATATAATAACAATTAAAATTTTCTAGGGTCCTGAACTGTTTAGTAAATGGGTTGGTGAATCTGAAAGGAATGTGAGAGAAGTATTTCTTAAAGCAAAAAACATGGCTCCTTGTATTATTTTTTTTGATGAGATAGACAGTTTAGCTTCACAGCGTGAAAGGTAAGAAAAATAAGTTGACATAAGTTATTATGCATATAAACTCTATTTTACTAATAAATAAATAATACCTGAAGTATAAAACCCTAGCATGTAAATCATATATTGACTCAAAATCCAACCTAAAATCTGCTCAATTTCCAATTGCTATAATTATATAAATCAATAAAACATGCATTATTAATGCCAAACAATTTCTGAATTATATTGGGTTATATATTACTACTACTATTATTAATTAAATGCTAAGTAATTAGTAGTAGTTACCGGTATTAGTAATGTATAGCTCAATATAATTCAGCAATTGTTTGGCTTTAATATATAGCTATTGGGTTTGGATATTTATATTTGCACACGTGTATTGTCTTTCATTGAAACTCTTAAATTCCACTTTATGCATTTTTGCCTGGGGTTTGATTTCTTTCTCTAGATGAAATGTAATTATCATTTTAAGCTTTACTTTTAAAATGATTTACTTATGAAATTATATTTGTCATTTAATATATAAATGAACAGAAATTTATGTAAACTATAATTAATATTAAGTATTTATTATGCTGAAATAAAATTTTCATTTTGACAAGATTTGTCAAATTGAAAAGCTTCTTAATATTTATTCATATAGTACAGGCATGGCAACATACGGCCTGCGGGTTGGATCTGGCCCACGTATTGAATATATGCAGCCCGTGATTAATCTTTCAATATTAGCTATTTAACTTCCAATAATTGTCGAAAGGATATTCCANAAATGCATCTTTTTTTTGTATTTAACATTTATTAATTTTAATATTTCATTCAGCCCACGTAAACTTTTCTTTCCAATTTGGCCCGAGGGCAAAAACAGTTGGCCACGCCTGATATAGTACAGTAGTTCATATTATTTGATTTTGCTTGCTGATTTACATTTAGTAGCTATAATCATTAAGTAGTTAGGACTAATTAAAATATATAAACATCTCGAAGCCCGATGTATTGATACTAAACCAAATGATCTCTGTAATTAATCGAGATATTATTATGCTATAATTAATAATTAGAAATTAAGAAATTTGCTAGTAGAGGTAGATGTTAGATGAGAGACCACTAGAGAGGGTTTTAAAATTTCTAATGTGAATAGTTGAAGTGCAAATATCATCTAAAACCTCTAGTTATCTATTACAGCCAAATGATTGTCAAATTAAAGCCAGGGCTGTATTACTATTATTAATTATTAAATGCTGAATATAGGGTTAGATGGGAGTTGTTGGTTTGAGTCCTGCTTCAGGCTAATTCTTTTCTTCCAGAATCTTCTAAATTAATTGTAATAAATTAAAATATTAATTTAATTATGTTTTACAAAAAATAGCATCATATAATCTCTATCTAGTGTTAAATTACTTAGCATTTAATTATTAATAGTAGTAGTAATATAGCCCAATATAATCCAGCAATCATTTGGCTTTCTTGTTGAAGTGGGCGAGAGCTTGAAAAATGAAGGTTGACTCTGGTTCCTTAGTAGCCACTCAGACTATTGTATCAATCCCAAGGTATCAATGGGGACAAATTGTCAAAGCATTTTTAAAGAAGGAAAATACCAAATATATTGAATATTGAAATTGTATATTATATTATAAGATTTGATGTTGACTTACAAAATATCAAAAGTTTATAAAAACAATTATTTTGATATATAAATAAGAATGAAAAATCTTTTCTTATCAATTATTTTTGAACTTTTAATCAGTGACAGGAGAAATATTAATGATACTTTCCATTTGAAAACGTTATTTTTAATAAAATTGATTATATTTACAGTTCGGGTGGATCAAATGTTGGTGACAAAGTATTGGCACAGCTATTGACAGAAATAGATGGAATGGAGCAATTGAAAAATGTTTTTATAGTTGCAGCAACTAACAGACCAGATATGATTGATAAGGTAATTAATTAATTTTAATAATTAAGTTTATAGTATTTTGTGTGTGTGTGTTTAATCCCATAAGAAAGCTAATGAAACCAGGTTGAAAAAGTATAAAGCTCAGCAAAAACATCCATGTAAAGGAAACTTTGAAAGTTGTGGTATAAGAATAGTGGAAGCAGATTTGACAGTAAGACTCAACATGTGAATGAAGTACACCAAAACTTCATCCAAAACTTCCTGCAGTTGTAATCTGTGTAATGTGTACTTCATTTACATGTTGAGCCTTACTGTCAAATCTGCTTCCACTATTCTTATGCCACAACTTTCAAAAGTTTCCTTTACATAGATGTTTTTGCTGAGCTTTATACTTTTTCAACCTGGTTTCACCAGTTTCTTAATATTTGAAGTATTTTTCAGACACCAATAACTTCACAAGAGAATAGTTTTCATGATAATTCTATATTCGTGATAGTCATGTGATAGCCTGCAGATTTTTATCAAGTCTTGGAATAAATATGAAAAATTATTCATATTATAATATAAATATGAATAATTTTTCATATTTATTCCAAGACTTGATAAAAATCTGCAGGCTATCACATGACTATCACGAATATAGAATTATCATGAAAACTATTCTCTTGTGAAGTTATTGGTGTCTGAAAAATACTTCAAATATTAAGAAACTGGTGAAACCAGGTTGAAAAAGTATAAAGCTCAGCAAAAACATCTATGTAAAGGAAACTTTTGAAAGTTGTGGCATAAGAATAGTGGAAGCAGATTTGACAGTAAGGCTCAACATGTAAATGAAGTACACATTACACAGATTACAACTGCAGGAAGTTTTGGATGAAGTTTTGGTGTACTTCATTCACATGTTGAGTCTTACTGTCAAATCTGCTTCCACTATTCTTATACCACAACTTTCAAAGTTTCCTTTACATGGATGTTTTTGCTGAGCTTTATACTTTTTCAACCTGGTTTCATTAGCTTTCTTATGGGATTAAACACACACACACAAAATACTATAAACTTAATTATTAAAATTAATTAATTACCTTATCAATCATATCTGGTCTGTTAGTTGCTGCAACTATAAAAACATTTTTCAATTGCTCCATTCCATCTATTTCTGTCAATAGCTGTGCCAATACTTTGTCACCAACATTTGATCCACCCGAACTGTAAATATAATCAATTTTATTAAAAATAACGTTTTCAAATGGAAAGTATCATTAATANTATAATTTTATAAATACTCAATATTTTAAAATATTAGTCTTTTGTAGTTCTCAGTGCATACACACAAATTTCATTCAAATTGGTTTATTGGTCTTGGAGAACTGTCAAATTTGGTACTTTAACATTACTTGTGTGGCTGAGCCCTAATATAGAGAGCTGCTGTGCTCTTTGATATATCAGGAATTTGTATAAAATTAAATTGGAACATAAATGATCTGAAACATTATAATTTGATCGTCAATTTATATCATGTACCTATTATAGTAGAAAGTTGATATCAGCATATAAGGTAGATTATCAACTCTTACTTCTTTAATTAGCCATATAGAACAATGAGTAATGATGAAATTTTTTGGTGTAAAGAACATTAATTAAAAGAAATTGGCAGGTTTTAAGCAGAGTTTGAAAAAAGAAATGTATGAAAGAGTGCATACTGCGCACGTGCATTGCCAGTCTGATATAATCCAGCAGATTGTTTTACATTTATCAAAAATTGGGCTATTAAATGTTTATGTATGTATGCGATTATAGTTACTTGATAAGAATTTGAAAATTTTATTACAGAAATAATTTTAAAATATAACAATTTAATTATGAAAAGTCGAGAATTTATGTATATTTAATTTGGTATATTTTTTAGGCACTACTGAGACCTGGAAGATTAGACAGCATAATTTATGTTCCATTACCAGATGCAAGTACTCGGAAAGAAATATTAGAAATTGAATTAAAGAAACGGCCTACATCTTCTGATGTAGACGTCTCATTATTAACAGAACGTACAGAAGGATATTCTGGTGCTGAGGTATTTCAGTATGCTTTATTTTTTTTAATTAACCCATTTTACACCTTTAGGGTGTGACTATGTAGATGCGAGCGAGTGAATTTTCCGAGCAAGCGAGAAGAGGTGAGATGCAATAAATATCAAAACCTGTCAGATATGTGCGAGAACCAGAAATTCACTCTCCCCAGCGTTATTTCTCGCTTCTCGTTTGTGCGTGGTTTCCCTTTGCAAAAACTAAATCGCTCGCAACCTCTCGCTCGCTCTAACTTCGCGTCTGCATAGTTGCACCCTTAGATTATATAATTCAGTCTTAGGGGGGCAATGGCAGAGTCACTCTATTTTGAGATCGTCATCTGCCTCAATATACAAGAAAAATTATTGGTGTAAACAGTTATCCCCTGTGTAATGCAGTAGTTAAATTTTAAAAAAGTGTTGTGATGATCAAATCCACGCTGTACAAAACACAGGGTTAGATTTCAAAAGTTAGCAAAAGTGTGCTATTCTTGTTCATAATTTAAAAGAAATGTGCTTATTAAAGCAATGAATAATTGTCTAACAATCACAATCAAAAGTATTTTATATTAATACAGTAAAACCTGTTCAAAACAGAACTGGAATAAAATGGAAACCTGCCTAAATGGGAAACTTTCTTCATAATGGAGCAATTTCCTTGTTAAAAAAACTTCAAAATGGAAACTTAACTGGAAAAAATATTCAATACCTTGAGATTCCAGTTTATGCAGTTTTACTGTATTAATTTTTTTCCACTGCTAAACATCATTAAATGAGGACGGTTTTTTAAGCGAACTATCATCAGTATCTGAGGTTTTCTGTCGACCTTAATCTTCATTATTGGCAACATCTTGATTTTTCTCTGCATTTTTCATAAAATCTGATATTTTTGTTTTCGCATTTGCCTAAGAGATCATTAAAAATTTAATCTATAAAATAAAGCACAGCAACATTCATTTGTGTTCCTGTAAGAACGCCGATTGGGGGGGATTTTTATTCCCTACCGTCGGGATGGTCTAAGGTCTTAGCTATGTGGGTGGCGGTTTGTAAAGGCAGCAAAGACAAGTGTTTACAAAGGTAAACCGTTTATTTCGGACGAATATGCTTACACAATTTTTAGGCTTTGGTGCTGGTCTTGCGTTGTTGAGAATTCCGGCGGTGATCCGGTGCGTCGTCGTAGGGGCCCCTGGACAGTGTTGAGGAGAAAAAAAAGTTCGATGTCTCGAAAGTCGATGCACGAAAGATGAAGATACACGAATACAACAGAAGTATAGGTGGAAGTCTTGGTGGAAGTAGAAATCAAGTAAAAAAGTCCCGCTGTCCTTGAATTTTGCGTTTTTATAGGATTTTTGCGATCGACTCCTTGTCAATTGGATAGATCTTACATCACCGTTTTCCAATTGGCCATCCACCTGTCTCCAGGTGTAAATGGAGCTTCGTTAAGTTCGTGGAAAAGGTCGGCTGGAGATGGTTTATCCGACACCATCTTTTCGAATCTGATCGCGTTTAATTGTTGACTATGACACCTTCGCTCATCTAGACATTTTTTTTTCTAGTTTCGTTTTGCTTTCTAAACTGCGTCTTAACTTTTAATATTTTAAATTTTCTTCTTTTTACATCTAAAATTTGGTTTTTCCGTCAACTTTTGATGAGCGTCGACGTCAAAGTCGGGTGTCGCCGATTCGACACTTATAATTTGCTTTCCTGACGATTTAACATAACAAATTTTTACATATTTTTTTTTTTTTAGGGGGAGGGGCTATTTCCAGGGCCTCACACTATTTCATAATCAGTAAGTTCTTCGATTCCATTTAAGCCTTCAAATTCCTCAGGATTAAAATTTATTGATTTCCAATTACATTTTTCTTCAATGAACACAGACATTACCGTTACCTTTTAGTAAAAACTACTAATATAAACAAAAATTCAATGAAATAGACAACAAAACGTACATAGGAAATACACGTGTTTTCTCGGTATTTCTACAACGTGAAATGGAAATAACGAAATCGTGTAAAATAAAATATGTAGAAAAAAATTGTTAATTATTTGTATTTTTAGATATTTCGTTAATTTATAAAAAGCTACGATGTAAAAACTATTACTTAAAATTATTTTATAGATTATTTTAGCCTTATAGTTCCGTTTCTTATCGTTTTCTCAAATTGCGAATTGGTCACGTGAGTAAATTAGAACTACGTCATTTCATTTTACCTTTTTATCACGTCGGTAATCGTGCGGGTAATAAATTAATTTTATTATTTTATTTAAATTAATAGATAAAATTTATAAAATATAAATAATAAATATATGGAAGTTAAAAAGTTTTGGAATTTTTACACAAACCTTCTTGCAAAATTTCAAGAATTTTCAAAGGCACAGGAAACTTTTTTTTTATTTAAACTCTTTCCGCTGTGTGAACACAAAGAGGACCTCTTTTCGCTAAGCCCATTATGGGTTAGGCCAGGCCCACAAAGATGCCGGGTAGTGAAAGACGGGCCCCGACATATCCGGACGGACCACACCCGAAAAATTCCTGGGGATTTTCGGGAATTTCGGTCAGAAAATACTCTGTTTCTCTGCAACGAAGAGAGATTTAATTTCATCGTTCAACTTAAAAAAATACAGCATTTCAAAATTGTTACGAAATTGTATCAAAACGAAATTTAAATTTAAAGAAATTTGTTTTATTTGTAAACAATCTAGCCTAAAATTTTGATTTTATTTAAAAACTGAAACCTTAATAAATATAAAAATTGGATTTTTGACTCTGAAAATCGAAAAAGTTTGCAGAAACAAAAATCTTTGCATTACAACGTCATTCGCAAAAATCCGAAACGGAAGGAACATGGCGGACATACTGTACGCTGCATGCCACATTTTAATACTAGTAGCCCGGGACGCTCCCTAGTGGGCGTTTTAGCAGTATTACAAATTCCTATGAGGCATGTTTAAAGCAGCGGCAGCTTTACGTTCCTCCACAGTGGCGTATTTCTTTGGTCGTGCCTACAGTGGCTAGCCACTGTAGTCGTGCCATGAAAGGTTTCTATTATTATATTAAAAAATTAGCTTAACTATTTCAAACCTTATCGTTTTATCGTAGCGGTTCAAATCTATCCGGTTTTTCGTTATTCGCCTCCTAGTGAACATTACAGGCATTCCGTGACAATAATAAATTCCTATTACAAATATAATGAATTATTTATATTGTTATATTGACCAAATAATAATTTATTGGCCAAATGAATAATAATAATTTATATTGTTCATTTAAATAATAATTAAAATTGTTAATTTAATTTGAATGTTTTAAATATGACACACGATAGGGGCGCCTCTAGTGTCCGTTATCAAACGGTTACGGGACAGACGGACAGTTGAATGGGTTATATATATAGATAAACTTTTAATGTGCAGTTTTTAACACTTAACGATTAACTTCAAAGTTGTGCATAAATTACGTAACGCAGATATGAGTGAGTGGGTATGCTGTGATCGTCGATTAGGGATTGCATTGCCGATAAACGGTTTACTGCTTCACCGGCAATCAGATAAAAAACCCTGTATTGGTAAATATACTAGTAATTTGATATTTTTACTTTAAATTCGGTAAAAAAATAAGTACACATGTAATAATATTTTGCAGCCAAATATTTATTTGTATAATCAAACTTAGATTATCTGAAAAGTTTTCTGTTTTCGAAAACAATCGGCGAAATCCGAAACTAACGAAAACCGAGGCAATTATTTTTATATAGATCAATGTAAATCTAATTAATTTGTTCTAGACACTAGACACTAAAATTATTTCTAAGCAACAATGAATAATTTTTTAATATAATAATGAAAGAAAAGAACAAAAATTTCGAGTAAGAAATTGAAAATTCTGCAAAAAAATCTTGAGATTAAAACAATTTAAGAACGAAAGTCTACATATTCTGCAGAATTTTGCACAAGTACTTAATTAAAACATTACAAATTATGATCAGTATTGTTAGAATACACAATTAAGAAAATTGTAAACTGTTATTACAATTTTCACCTGTGTCCGAGCCAGACTCGGGCGAATATCAAATAATAATTAATTCACTTTTTATGCACAGATTTTACTCAGGTAAAATTTATTTGTCCTTTAACGATCGTTGTCTATGACCACAACAAATTTCGTAATTCTATACGAATTATAAGTTTTTGATTGGAGCCGTTTTTCCGGTCCCCTTTTATATAAATAGTACAAATGACCAAAAATTTTTAGTTGTATTTGAGTATTTGTAATAACTAGTACAAACCTTGCTAGAACCCCGACTTTCCCTAAGACCTTTATGTAAATATCCCGCAAAAGTTGACCAACGGCTGTTCTCAAGATCAAACAATTTTAAACACCGTAGACTGCAGCTGTCTCGTTGCAGTTTGTGTAAGACGAAAGAAAAATATAAATAAAGTATCCCTGAAGCTATATGTAATAACTAGATGCATTTATTTTAAATCATTTTTTTATTTTTTTAATAGCTTTACTATAAAAACACGTTTTGGGGAGATTTTTTCGCGGCAAAATTATAATTTTTTCTAATATCAGATTTGGTTTAACTTTCACAAAAATATTTATTATCAAAAAATAAAAAAATATATGCTTTTCTGAGCGAAATTTGAAAAAAACAAGCGTTAAGGAGTTTTAAATGTATTAAATGTTATCCTATTTACAAGGAATAAAAGTAAATTTTAACTTAAAATTAAAAATTATCGAAAAACCCAGATAATGAGATATTTTTGTGAAAAAACCTATCAACCCAGATTACAATAAAAAAATCCAAATATGAGTAGAAAAACTCAGGCGTAAGAGCCCTTCCCACACCATATCGATGACGGCACGATATTTCAAGACACTGGAAAGGCACTTTCTTTGCTTGGTTCATTTCCCGTTGGATGAAATTAGTCAAACGAAATAAAAACCATCAATAAGTTAAGGGATTGCCTATCACTATAACCTATTCAACTATGCCCAAGAACAA